TTTCCCACCTCCCTTGTAGTGAATTTAGATTCAGACATAGGACAAGCTGCCTTCTCGTTCCTTTTAAAGTAGTTTCTGTTTTACTGTCTTCAAAACAAAAAACTTTGTGTCTTAGGATTATAGGTAATAAAACAATGCATATTTGTGATAAAAGATTGTGGAAAAATCATAGTAGTGAGTTATTTTTTTCTTCTGTTCTACTCTTCACACGTGTGCTTGGTTTTATTTATAAAATTGTGGTTTTAGTGTGCATTCTGTTTTGGGTTTTTTTTTAAGATTTTTAAAATTTATTTATTTTTAGAGAAAGGAGGGGAGGGAGAAAGAGAGGGAGAGAAGCATCAATGTGTGGCTGCATCTCACACGCCTTCTTCTGTGGACCTGGCCTGCAATCCAGGCATGTTCCCTGCACTGGGAATCGAACCAGCAACCCTTTGGTTTGCAGGCCAGCGTTTGATCCACTGAGCCACACCAGCTAGGGCTGCATTCTGTTTTATACCCCTTTTTCCTATACATACTTCTAATAATAGAATGATAAGTTTTCCATGAGCCTTTCTTTCAAAACTTTTCTCCCAGTAGTTGGGCAGCATCGTGTCCTGTGGAAGTACCTTAACTTACCTGTTACTGCCCTAATTTTGGGTAATGTAAGTGTTTTTCAGTTTTTTGAAATAATGTCACAGTAAACAGCCTTGTACATGTATAATCTTTAGCATTTATTTCCCACACTCAGAGACCATGAATATTCTAGAATTCATTCCACGTTGTCCTCCTGCCAGTGGCCCATGAGCGTCACTTTCCCACTTAGAAACATTAGTTTTATAAGTTTCCATGTTCTTTGTTGGGCTTTATAGGTCAAAAATGGTTATGATTTTAATTCCATTTCTTTGAATTCTAGTGAGGATGGACATTGCCTCTCATTTTTATCATTTTTTGTATCTTTCTGAATTATCTCTTTATAATAACACTATATGGGATAGTAACCTTATCTTGTATCTTACTCTGTTTCTCATTTCAGTTGTTTTGCTCTGTGGTATTGTTTTGGGTTTTTTGAGCAGATAAAACTTTTTCATCTTGTTGCAGCCTCGTCATGCAGCTTGGAGCAGGAGTCCAGTGGAGGGATCGACCCTGTGGCCAGACGAGCCATCAGCACCCCGGAGAGTAAGTGGCTGGGGGGTGAGCTGGCTTCTCCTCACTCCCCATGGTATCTGTGTCTGTGAGAGGTGCCTGGGAGAACTGTTCATTTAAAAACACTCAGTTGTGTTTTCTCTGTAGTTTACAAATATGAATTCTGTTCACAACTTAGGTGGGGTGACTATTAAGAGGTGGTTCATCTCTGTGAAACCAGTAGAAAAATGCTACCCAGCTCCACTATTCAGGCACACCAGTGATACTCGGCAGGAATGAAGTAGTTTTGCTGGGTGGAAATGAGTGACTTTCAGAGAGAGATTTTAACAAAATCTACAGGGGGTTGGCAAGTCCTTCCTGCTGTAACCTGAGCAGCAAAGATGCTTCTGTCTTTGATTCTAAGGGTCTACAAGCAGACAGGGGAATGCATCTAAGAGCTACTGCATCCGTGCTTTGGGGAAGGTCAGAAACTTACTGCCTGGGTGTCCACAGGCTTCCAAACAGGAAGAGAAAGGGGAACTTCAACTGTAGCACACAAAGAGACCTCCCAGAAAGAGGAGTAAGCCGCATGGAGCTATTTGAATGGTGGTGCTGAGAATGCTGTTCTCAAATGTCTTCTGTTAACGAGCTCCAGTAGCTCAGGCATACAGCCCTGCGGAGGCACTGATGCACTTGAGAACACAGACAGGGAAGATCTTGTCGGTGCTCCCAGGAAGGGTACCGTGTAAGGGGAGACGTCCGAGCTGCGCAGCTTACTCCAGAAGTGTTCTTGCAGAAGGGACAGCAGGCTCTGCCAGGACAGTCAGCAGCCTGCACAGGCCCAGTGCTGACTGGAGGGATAGCAGCTCACACAAAATGGTACAGAGCACAAAGCAGGAGGGAGTCCTGGAGAGAGGAGTGGTCCTGTCACCACCTGGGTCTCAGAGGAGGCATGGCATGTTGTAGCGCGCTCGTGGAGAGCACTCCAGGCAGAACTGCTCGGGAGCGCCAGGTGTGCCACGCTGGCGCCTGCATGGAGGACGATGAGAATCGGGGGCTGGTGACCCGCGGCTCACGTGTGCACACGGGCTTTGAGGGTGTTGGGGACCTGGCTTTGAGGGTGGTGGGGGCCTGGCTGCACAGTGGCTGAGTGCCCAGCCCAGACAGCACACCCTGAGCCATCAGGAGACTTCAGCAGGGCAGTCACCTTACCAGATCTTGGAACAAATTTACCTCTAAATGGCGTGGGGAACAATAGTTCGTAAGTTGCAGTAGCCGCTAACATATCCTTAGCACTTACCTGGTACCAAGCACTGTGTGAAGGACTTAATATAAATGGTCTCATCTAACCCTGACACCTCCCCTGAAGTCAGTGCATTTGATCCCGTTTCAGAGGTAAAGAAACTTGAGGCTCTTAGAGTAGTTCCCACAAGTAGTAAGACCAGCCAGAACTCAAACCCCAAGTCGGATTCAGAGTCTGTTCCACTCTCGCTCTCCTGGCTCCTAAGGGCGAATCGGCAGAAGGGGGGGCCGCCAGCGGGGGAGGGCTGTGATAGATCAAGGGTGAGCTGGGCGAAGGCCCCCCCCCCCCCGGTGAGGAAGGAGAGCTGGGGTACATGGCGGGCAGGCAGCGGTGATGGCCCCGGCTCGGCAGTCAGAGGGGCTGACGCTCGTGAGGGTGACCTCCGTGAGGGACAGGCACCAACCATAGCAGCGGAGGGACCGGCAGCATCGCACCCTGGGACGTTCAGGGCAGGTGTGACGAGCGCTGCAGGGGGATCTGGCACGGAGTCAGGGTCGCTGGCCTGTGGGCACTGACCGCAGCCGCGGGGGTGGGCGTGTGGAAACCAGAGACCCGGCGCGGCGGCGCTCGGGCGCCCCCAGCGCTGCCTGATTTTAGCAGGGGTGCCACAGGAAGGACGGGAAGGCGGCCTCTTCAGCACCGTCACGCCCTACAGAGAGGCCACGTGAGGCCTGACTGGCGGGCGGCTGCTGCTGTGTAAGAGACCGAACGAAACCACAGCAGACACCCGGGCCTCAGCCCCTCAGGGGGTTGCACTGGCCCGGGCGGCAGCGGCCTCTCCCGCCGCTCACAGCCCTGCCTCTTCCCTCCGCCAGAGACCATCGCCGACGTCACCTTCGAAGCGGGAGTCAGCTACATCGGCACGCCGCGGACGCCTTTCCCCGTCAAAGGCAAGTGCCCGGCCTCTCGGACGCGCAGTGGCCGGCCTCTCCAGAGCCCTGAGAAACCTGATGTTGTTGTGTTTGGCTCCCTTTCAGAGAAAATTGAAACCCAGGATCAAGGAAATGACATTTTATGTTTGTCGTTGCCCGATAAACCGTAAGTCAGCAGGAGCTCCTTTTGCCGTAGGTTTTGTCAGCGTTTCCCCCTAGTTCCAGGACGACTGTCTCTCTTCTTTGCCTAGGCCTCCGCAGCCTCAGCAGTGGAACGTGAAGTCTCCAGCCAGAAATAAAGACAATCCCGTCCCCAGTCGGCGGTCCCTCCGGAAGAGCCCCCTGAAGACGGCCAACTGAACCGGGGCGCGCCGGCGGGGAGCGTCCGGGCGCGCGCGAAGACGCGTCCTGCGTGCGGAGGCGGAGCATGGCTCCCCGCAGAGCGCGGGGCGCTTCCGGGGCCTCACACCGAGCTTGTCCCTGTGATTCCAGCACCCTCCGACTGTTCGCCGGTGAGCTGCCAACCGTTGCAATTTCTTAGGAAATACATGGTTAAAAAAAAATTTGTAAAATAATAGAGAAATGCCTTAGCTATTTAATATTTTAACTTTACTCCATTTGACAGTATCAAGTCCATTTTGATGATCTATATTCTGGTTCTTAAGGAACACAACACATTTGCTTTCTTTAATTGAATTCTTTATAGTACTTTCCCATATCTGATGACAAGATTTTGATTGTAATATTTTTTCTATTATTTATGAACTGCACATTTCTTTAAAAAATGTACAGCTTTCTAAAACAGAATAAAAAGGTTAAGCATAAGTATAGCCTTCTAGTATTCTTTTGCAATAGAATTTTTCTATTTTTTGAACAGGGCTTTTGTGGGTAGTCATTTTAATTTACATAAAATGTTTAATAATAAAACCAGCCCGGGCTGGGTGGCTTGGCTGATTGGAATGTTGTCCCATGTACCAAAACGTTGCGTGTTCAATCACTGGTCAGGACATGTACAGAAGGCAACCGATTGATGTTTCTCTCTCCCTTCTTATAAAAACCAATAAACATCCTCAGGTGAGGATTTTAAAAAATTAATAATAAAACCAAATCTTCCCTGTTAGGGAGAAACAGTTACTGTCTTTAAGGTTCAGTTCATCTGTCCCAACACTGCTACTGCTGCCTCCTGACAACACACATCCCTGTCAATGTGTAAACATAGTCCTGCTTCTGGAAACACTGCTTCATGTCTCTTACCCTGAGTGGCACTACCACTAATTTGTGTTGATAGTCTAGTTTGCTAAGGACTGCTCCCATTAAGAGCATGACTTTAGTCTCTTCTGTTCGTACCACCAGGCAACCTGAAAATATGTAAGTCGTGTTTTCTCCAAGAATGACCAGGAAGAAATTCAGTAGGTTCATTTTTTTAATCCCTGTACTACAGAAGCAAAAGTAAAGGCCACTGTGTTTTCAATATAAACGTGGTGGTTGGCTTTGAGGGGTGGAATATCACTGTCTCCCCACAGCCCTCCCATATGTGAGCTGTGGCATGTGGCCACGTCACTGGTAGAGGAACTTACAGAGCTGCTTTGAGGGAACACACTCATTTCCAACTCATGTCAACGGCGATGGCAGTTATCTCTGAGTATACTTACCTAAACAAAATGCTAGGAAGAAGGCATAAACCAACACAAGAGGAAATAATAGAAATAATGAGGCAACACTGATTTTTTTTTAAAGCTTTTATAAGTGAGATTTAACAAATATCAACTTACAGGTGTGTTAGTACAAGGCTGCCACATCTATGTACACAGGAGCCACACCAGAGGCCACAACAGCCTCGCTCTGGCCTCGAGTCTTCAGTCACATTCATGTTTGAAAACATACAAGTGTTCCTTTGATGTCCACACTTTTACAATAACAGGCAACTACCTCCCAGACTCCACAATTCACTACTCTCCCGTCAGACCCAGTCCACAGGGTACCAGGGTAGGAGGTTTTAGGGCATAAAAAGGCTGCCCTATCACTGTGACAACCAAGATCCCCAGCTGGAAAAGGGGGAAGCTATCCCTACCACGAAGGGGTAAAAATGAAGGGAGAGCCCTAATTGTAAGCATTCGAGACAAATGCAAAAGGTAGTGGGTACCACTGAGCAATTATGAAGAGCTTCCCACTGCTTCTGCCCACCATCCCACGGCAAAGTATTTCACATAACTTAGAAAAGTCAATGTAGGTCTAAAGTCTTGAGTTTTAAAAACCTCAAAGTATAAAAAATTAAGACAAAGTTTAATCCCTAAGATGACTATGTTCTTATATAAAAACTATCCTCTAAGCACACAGTAGAATCCAAGACATTCCTTTAACAAGCTCCTTCAAATCCCTTCACATTATGAGTTAACACAGCATCGTATCTGAGGCTAAGAACATCTGCTCTTAAAGAGTAAAGGCTTCTGAACGCATCGGACGTCCCCCACAAAGTGCGCGGTGTTGTGGGTAGAGTTAGAAAGCTGCCTTTGACTGAAGAACTTCACTCTCCTCACCCTCGGCCTCTGGCTCCAGCCACTCAACCTCATAGTCTATGAGGCCGGCCCAGTGGCCACCACGCAACAGCTCACTGTGAAGTGAGACAGAACCTGTGGTGCCTTGGGGCTTTCATTGTGGCAAAGAGGAATTCATTTTTTTTTTTAAATATTATTATAGTTGACAGATTTGATTCAAAACTGCCTTTGGCGCTGGACAGTCTTATGAACTACACAAGTAAGTTAAGTGAATTTAAAAAGCCAAATAGTAGTAGCTTCTGTTTCATGAGCCATTCACAATCCAAAAGGGCTGTGGCCCAGGGAACCCAAAGGCTGGGATGCCACATGGAAAAGATCCATCATTCCTGAAGTGACACCTTAGAACTGTCCTGGGCTGAGCCAAGTGCCTGTGGGACATGAACAACATATTAAAGCCAAACGGCACACAGAGCCATAGTCGGGGCATTAGAGATGGGAGGGGGACATGCTGGCTAGCCTTAGGAGTTAGTGGCCAATACCCATTCAAGACAGCAGATGACTCGGCCTGGGAGTTGACGGATGTGGTTTGCACATTTATGTCTAAGAGTTCCTTATGTTTTGTTTTATTTTGTTTGAGAGATGTCAAACAGATTCTGACATTACTTAAGTGGAATTTTTAAAGGGTGCCTAAGCAACAATGGTCTGATGTATACATGGCGCAAGTTCTTGTGAAAAATGCTAAAGCACATGTGGGAAAAGGAATGTTCCGGTAAGCCTCCTTGAGAGGAGTCCTTGGGTTAAGATACTTCTTAATATTGACATTTCCCAATTTAACATGAGTAGCTTGGAACTACTACTGTAGGTTGAACTTTTTCTTTTAAAAAAAAAATAGGTTATTTAATACTGACAACATATTTACAGTTTAAATAGAAATTTTCTTTTCAATAACCAAAATACATGTTTAGCAAAAATTTAGAATATAAAATTCTATAAAATAAACACCCATAGAAAAGCAGGACGTTATCTTAGTACCATTTCACATTGAGGCTGAGGTGGAGGCTCTCCTTAAACACCGAAACCTCCATGGACATGCAGGGCTGTCCATGGAAGAAGGCCCTTCTTCCAACAGGCAGCTCTCCTTTCCGATTTAGGTTGGTTTATTTGTAAGATGCTGACCCAGGAAGATTCTCCAAGGTGGACACCGTGACACTGATCAACGAGGCCTTTAACAAGAGACAGTGCCGGACTGCCTGTGGGCCATGGTGAGGCAAGTTCATTGCAGAAAAAGCCTCTTCGGGTTCGCTGATTCGCTCTGCAGCCGCGGGCCTTCATGCCGGGATTCACACTGCCAAGCTGTACACTGCTGGCGTGATGTAGCCCGCTTGTCACCCCTCACACGGTGCTCACCCTGGCTGATGACACCAAGTGGCAACTAAGCCGGCCTCCCGGGCCCAGAGTGCCCAGCAGTCTGCAAGCAAGCGCTTCACAACCACCCTCACACTCAGCGGGCAGCCAGGCCGGAGACAACCTCAGTTTCTTTTCCTTGTGAAGACTGTGGCCATCTTGAGGAAAACTTTTATTTATGTGGCTTGTTAAAAAGTAAGAAAGGAGTAGCGGTCAACTTTGGCCAAAACAAAAAGCTTTTGCACGAGTGTCTAGCTCTGTCCAAGTGCACTTCACTCCGAGCTGATCTATACAGACGTTTCTAGTAGAGGTATTGCGTGTGCTCTCAGCCACACCGTCAGCTTTCAGATCACAAATGACGACTTGTGTCTGAAGTCACCCTGCAAAGCCAACAGAGTTAGAACACAGCCTTCCTCTACCAGTCAGGGGGCAGGGCGGGGGGCTGCCGGGACGAGGGAAGGGAGAATGGTGGTCAAGGCCAGTGCACCATTCCCGAAGGGAGAAACTGGCAAAACAAATCAAATGAATCATTCTGAACAAGTAGCATCAAAAGCTTACAACTAGAAGTGCCATTAGCACAGACATGTAATTGTGAAGGCTAGAGAGTCCAGGGTCTGGAATATAATTTGGAAATCTATTTTCATAGGGGACCCAATTTGGTTTCTGAGGAGGAATGTCACTGTCCCTGCTGGGAACACCTCGATTTGTAAGCCTCCTACATGATCCCTGCTCTGCCCCTCCACCGTACCTCCTCATCTGTCCGGATGTAGTTAACTCCGTCCGGCTTCCCTGGATTCTTGTAACTGTGAAATAAAAGAAGAGGGTAGTTCAGTGAGTACTCACTCCCGTATCAATGCCAAATTGAACTTTGTTTTTCCTCAAAAGACAGGCTCACCTTTCCTCACTCTGTTTGTTGTTGATGAAGTAGCCACGTCTGTATGCGCAGCAGATGCCCACTGTCATCAGTGTCAGGACAGCAAGGACCACCAGGACCCCGCCAATAATCCCGCCAATGTTCAGGTCATCTGGGTTAAAGAAAGGTTGCCGGAAGGGAGGACACATGCTGCCTGCTCTCAACAAGACGCAGGCCCGCCGCGCTTCCCCCCTTTCTCTCTCCCTCCCTGCCCCCTCTGCCCCCCAGACCCTGCAGCCAGAACAAAGTGGAGACACGCAAGACTCCTTTCTTTCCCATACACAGGACATTGTAACCCCTATCTCACTTGTGGAGAGTACTGAGCCCTCTACAGTTCAAATGCCATTATATTTACTACTGTAGTAAATGGGGCCTGGCATTGTATGACGGAGTCAAAAATCCTCTGGCTAAATCCCTGAAAGTATTATTAAAGGGAAAAATAGATACACTATAAGGACAGAATTAGCGAGGAGTCTTATGAAAGAAAAATCCCTAATCTTCAGGGCTTCCCTTGGCTGTGATTAGTTTGGGGAAGACAGCTAGTTTCCAGCAGAAATAAATATGAGGTGAGAACAAGACCTTCATCCATGGGCACCCTGGGCAGAAACCTGACTGTCTTCTCATTTCTGGATCATGGGCAAAGGGACTCGGTCATGTTCAGTGCGGGAGCACTAAGGACTGTTTCCTTCATGCAAATAAAAATGCAGTGAGCCCTGGCTGGTGTGGCTCAGCGGATTGAGCACTGGCCTGTGAACCAAAGAGTCGCTGGTTCGATTGCCAGTCAGGGCACATGCCTGGGTTGCGGGCCAGGCCCCCAGTAGGGGGTGCTTGAGAGGCAACCACACATTGATGTTTCCCTCCCTTTGCTCTCCCTTCCCTTCTCTAAAAATAAAATGTTAAAAAAAAAACAAACCCACAATGAAAAACATGTAGGGGACATAGCAACATAAGGGAGTTGTTAAAATTCTCCCTGACCCCAGTAGAGCAGGTCTCAAATATGAGGGGACATTTAAAACTCAACTTGAAATTTTTATTTTAAAATCTCAGTTTCCAAGCTCCATCCCTAGAGATTCAACAGGTCTGGAGCAAAGCCAGGACGCTTCCTCCTCATTCGACAGAGAGGAGGATCACCAGAACACCGTCTCACACACAGACACTTCCCAACTTTCCCTGCACATGGATCTGTGTTGGGGCGGGGAGGGCGCCTGGAATCTGAATGTGAAACGGTGGCCCCAAATGAATCTGAGGATCAGGAAAGTTTGACACAGCTCAGAGGGTGGCTGCACATGGAGAGGAGGGAGGGACTCAGCGAGTCCCCAGGTGTTTCTGATGTGCCCCACCTGCCCCCATCCTGGCTCGACACATCCCAGCATCGTCGCAGAACAGGGGCCAAACTCTGCTCCAGCTTACTGCAAAATGGTTACAACTGGGTAAATTTCTGAGGACTTTACAAAACCTTGTTTTTATCAATCACGAAGTAATGGAGTTGATTAAATGCCATTAAAAGCTACATAATTAGCCATGTTTTCAACACCAAAAGGCTCTATTAAGTCTATTTTGAGGAGATAAACATATTGTAAGGACCACTTATTAGTCATTTAGCTGTTCCTCAGAACTTTCTCATCTTTCAGTGAGCCCAAGTGTATTTGGGTGGATCCAGTCGTCTACAGAAGAAAGCAGACGAGCTGTTCGAATGGATGGTCTAAGGCTAAATTTAACATGCTCTAGCCACCTGCCAGTCTTCAGAGGAAATATTTTCAAAGAGAAACTCACAGACTTCCATCTCCTGCTCCTCACACTTGGCGGAGCCCGCGTCGTTGGAAGCGATGCAGTAATACCTCCCGGAGTCCTCCTTGTGAACCACGCTGAAAACCTGCACCGGGAACCCAAGGGAACAGTAAGACCAATCAGCAGGGCAGATGCCCGAGGGGTGGGGAAGAAGATGCTACCCTGCCCACCTACACGCTAAGCCCAGAACATGGTAAAGTGCCTGCTCATCGGCTCCTGTTCCCCTTTGGCTGCTGGGTCACTGTCTGGGGTCCATCCTGATATTCTTTTTTGACACCTGCCTGGGCGCTCTGAACAACAGGCACCCCTTGGCATATGGAGACAGCAAAACCTAGCACTGCCCACAATGAGATGTGGAGTCTGGCTTTTATTCAGGAGAAGGGACTCTGATAATGATTGTTCCTCAAGCAACACCTTGGCAATACATGCACAGAGGATCGTATTCTATAGCCCGGAGAGCTCCCGCTCCACACTGAGGTGCACCGCAGACCAGTGGTCCTAGGTGTCGCGGGAGCCTGATGCCATACGCTCCCAGGTGGTCTGTCCCCTGGGCACAACCAATCTGATTTCACCTCTTCCCGCCACCCACCCCTTCCCACCAAGGCTCCTGGGTTCTTCTGAAGCAAATTCCAGACACATTTTATCCACAAATATTTCAATAAGTGTCCCTAGAAGACGAGAATTTTTTCATCGTAACTACAATATCGTTGTCATGCCTAAAGCAACAAACAATTCCTTAATCTCAATCATCCAACCTGTTATCCAACGTCTCTCGTTGTCTCACAAGTTTTACAGTTGGATATTCACATCAGGACCTTTTCCTGCAGAATTTCTGACATGGGTTCTTAGCTCATGTCTTAAAAAGTTTCATTCTCTCTCCTAATAACCATTCTTTCGACAAGAGATTTCCCTACCCCCAGCAAAGACGTTTCCGCCCTCGCCTCTCAGAAGACATCTTACCAGAGTGCCTGTTTCAGAGTTCATAAGAAAAGAGGAATTTTTAAATCTGGGGTTGGTTCTGGAATCCTTCGGCAGGGGTAAGTCATTGCGGTACCAGCTGTAATGAGGTGGGGGGTGGCCCTCCCGCTCCTGGCAGTACAGCGTGGCCGCCTTGCCCACAGGCACGGCCTTTGGTACTCTGCACACCGGAGGTACTGGCTTCACTGCAGGAGAAATGCAGGTTGGTGTTTAAAATCAGCAACACAGCTGTATTCTCATTGGAGCCGCAATAAGTCCACTCCCAAGACAAGAAAGGCAGCCATGGGATCTGCACCACTGCCACCCCCATGGTCACGTGAGCCTTCAGATGACATGTGATGTGCTGCCTGGAATGTGCCCCTGCAGCTCAGCCCCGATGCTTGGTGTAACCCACGGCTGCTCCCAAGGCCTCCGCCACCCGAGCAGCGCCTCCTACAGCTAGCAGAGGGAAGTGGGAGGAACTCCACTCTCATCTCGTCCTCCACCCAACTCCAGCACTCTTAGGTCCCCAAGCTCTCCCTCCCTAAGTCGTGTGATGCCCTCAGGGATGTGGTTATAGAGGGAAAGAAAGTTAAGAGTTGATCTTTTTTTTTTCTTCTATATACAGATTCATGAAGCCTGAAAGGGGAGCCTATTTTAACTTCACATGAGTCCCTACCTTGCACAGTTAATTCAATGACAATCTCATCCATTTCTTTGCGGTCATTTCGAGCAACCACCTCACAGCGATAAAGAGCTGAGTCTGTTCGGGTCACGTTCCAGATCTTTAGAGACGTTTGCCCAAATAGTTCTGCACGACCTGCCAAGTCACCTATAGAAAAGAAGACACAGGACACTTGAAGACTCTTTAAAGATACATTTTCCAACTTGAAGGAGCTGGTTTCTAGGGCCAGTGTTTGATGCCTCAGTAGGAAGACTGCGGACTGGATTCTCTCTCTGTTCCTTTGTAACAGAGGTGAACTCTCTGAAGACACCGGGCACCAAAACAGTGCCTGGTGTGTAAGAGGGCTCTTTACATGTGTCTGTTTTGAAAGCATGGACCTTGTTTCCTTCTCATCATTTTCAGCAGGGGTTCCCACCAAAAGGAAAAAAATCAAACAAACGCCATTAAATAAACCCCCAGCGTGCCACAAATGGTGCTGGGACAACGGGATCTCCACACGCAAAGGAATGAAGATGGAATCCTACCTCACACCATATACACCAAAGACCTTACTGAAAAGCTAAACCTATGAAACTCGGAGGAAAAAACATAGACATAAATTGTCATGACCTTGGATCAGCAATGATTTCTTAGACATGACACCAAAGGAACACACAATTCCCTCTCTCTCTCTCACACACACACACACAAACACATACACACACAGTTACATTTGCTTCCACTGGACTTTCATAAAAATAGAGACTTGTGCTTCATAGGACACAAGCAAGTGAAAACATAATTTACTGAATGGGAGAAAATATTTACAAATGATGGATCTAACAAAGGACTAGTATCCTGTGCACAGGCCTACCTTGAAGACCATCACAATAAAGCAAGTAACACAAAAAAAGCAAGTTTTAATCTTTTTGTTGGTAGAGGGTCTTGCCTTCAATTTGTTAAAAAAAAACCCAACATCTGTAAAGCACAATAAGGTGAAGAGCAATAAAACTAAGTCCGTATATAAAGAATTTGCAAGTCAACAATAAGTAGACAAATAACCTAATTAAAGTGGACAAAGGATTTGAACAGACATTTTTCAGAGGACCTGCAAATGGCCAATAAGCACATGAAAAGACACTCAACATCTTTATTCATGAGGGAAATGCAAATCAAAGCCACAATGAGATACCACTTCACACCCACTAGGATGGCTAGAATCAACATGATGGACAATTACAAGTTTTTGTGAGGATGTAGGGAAATAAATTGCTGAAGGAATATGAAATGGTATAGCAACTGTGCAAAATTTACAACGTTGAGTTTGGCAGTTTCTTTAAAAAACAAAACAAAACTATACATGCAACTACTATATGACCTAGCAATTGTTCTCTTGGTCATTTATCCCCAAGAAATGATGTCTATACAAAAACCTGTATATAAATGTATTATTGATAATGGCCAAAAAGGGAAAATAACTCAAATGTGCATGAACTGATGAAAAAATAAAATATTATTGATCCATATTGTATAAAATGAAGTACCGACATATTCTACAACACAGATGAGCCTTGAAAACAACATGCTCAGTAGAAGTCAGTCACAAAGGACCACACAGTGTGTGATTTCATTTCCATGAGGCGTCCGGAAGAGGCAACCCCATCAAGAAAGAGTGGATTAGTGGTTGCAGGGAGGGTGGGGGGCAGGACAGGGCTGGGGCAGCGGGCGGAGCAGTAGAGAAACTGGGGAGTGACTGACCCCTGGTGGGTGTAGGGTTTCCCTTGGGGACAAGTAAAAGTGTTCCAGAATTTGATGGTAATGACAGTTACACGTCTTTGTTGAATATACACTTTTAAAAAGTGAGTTTTATGCTATATGAATATCCCAGTTTTAAAAAATGTTTAAAGCATAAAAAGACATAGTTCCTCTTTCAAAGAAGCATGACGAACCTTAGGAATGACAAATAAGGGAGAAATTAGGGGGTAAAAAATGACACAAAGAAGTAGAAAGTAATTATTACTAAACCCGCTGTTTAGTGAAAAGAAGAATTTACCATAATATGATAAAAACAGCAAACTCTTATGCTAGAGGACAAACACTTGCAAAGGCATTTTCTAATAGGAAGGTCTGCTATCCAGTGGTCATTAGTGGAGGACTGGAACTCACGCCATGTAAGACAATGGTGAACGAGAACCTATCAGGAGGCTTGTGGTATCTGTATTGAGGCAATGAAAAGACCAAACAGTCTGAAGTTTCCCTCCAGCCCCCAAACTTTGTGTGGTGAATAGTCTCCCCATCCTTGAGGGCTAAGAGTAAGGTGTTTAATTCCCAGAAACAGAAAGTGTTTTGGGCAAATGCCCATTTGGCTTCTCAGATGATCAAAACTGTATGAACAGGGCGTGTCAGGAGCAGCCTAAGTTGCCAGAGAAAACGGATTTGTTTTCTGAGAATAATATTTCTCTCTTCAAAAATAAGGGATGAGGGAGGATGTTGGTGGAAAAGCAAAACCATTTTTATGAGCCTGTAACTCCAGATGATACTGAGGACCCAGAGCAGAAAGACCATGAGTTCAGGGTGTTTCCACAAAACCCCTTTCCCATCTTCAAACTGCAACTATCAACTTCTCTGAGAACCCTGAAGCCACCCCGCTTATAACTCACCTGCACGTGTGCCTCCCGTTCGCTCCCTCCACCTGCCAGAGTGGAGGGCCTGTCCCACTTCCGATCTCGTGTGACTCCTCATCCCCCTCCCTCATGACAGCTAACTCCCAGCAACACCCTCTGCTTTCATCTCGCTCTCCACAGCCCTGACCTTGGCTCAGGCCACCAGCAGCTCCCTCCTGGATTCCGCAAAAGAATTCTGAATTGTTGCCCTGCTCTGAGGTTTGCCCGCCTCCAGTCTCTTCTCTACAGACTGGCTGATTCGGTCATTCTAGGGCATAAATGGAATCATGTCACTTCCCTCTTCAAATCTGTCCGTGCACCCTCAGAAGCCTGTCCCTCCTCACTGGGCGGGCACGGCTTGCTGTCTGGCCCTGGCCCCCCTCTGAGCTCCGCCTGGGGCCCTGTGCCCCCTCCCTGTCTAAGCCCGGGCTGTGGTGGAGCCGAGCGGTGTCTCCATCAAGCCAGGCTGCCATTTGCTGCCTCATCTTCATACTCAGCCTTCTTCCCTGCCCGACCCATTTCTTTACCCCACGCCTTACCACCTGGCCAGCCCCACTAGCCTTTCCTAGCGTGTCTGCCTGAAGGTCTGTTCTGGGAAGCCTTTCACGATCACCTGCCCTGCCCCTACTTCCTGTAACCGGGAGTGCCCTGTGCGTACCTCTGTTCTAATACAGGATACCATCCTGCCAAGTGGTCTGCAAGTGCCTTCTCGGGGCGCTACGCCTGCACCCAGGAAATGCTTGCCAAATACTACTACTTGTCTCCTGGCTGTTCCAAGTGATCCTTCTGATGAGCTCACATCACTAACGTCATGGATCATGGTAAAAAGATGGCCTAGGAAAATGTTCACTGATACTTCAGAGATATTCTGCAGAGAGATTAAAATCCTAAGGAGCTGGGTGACAGGGTCAGGAAGGGTCCACATGCTCCTCTCAACACATGTATGTGTTTGAATTTTCCCTAAGTAAAGCAAACAAAACAAAAAAATTAGTCCCAGCTACAGAAGCAGGATCAGTCAGAGGAAAGAACGTCTCCAGCCACAAGGGTACATCTGGGCCTTACAGACAAAGGAGAGGACTACAGGCTCTTACCCTGAATTTTGTTGTCAAAAAACACATATGTGGTTTGGGCATCTTGAATTTTCTTCCATTCGATCCTGGGGTTATGTGTCTGTGACTCTGTAATGATACAAGACAGCTCCACACCTGACGAGCAAAGAAAAAAAGAGAATTCTCAGGGAAAGTGGATCGATGTCCGGTTCCTTGTAGCCCAGACCGTGCGACTTATGTCTGGATTTAGAGAGGCCTTCTCTGCAGATTAAAAACCCAACTATCTCCTGGCTCCAAAAGGCTTTAAGAAAAGATTAGAGCCAGAAAAGGAACAGGCTTGATTAGCAAGAACACTTACTAAAGAGAGTGGACATTCCCCGTCGTGCTCCACCCGTGCGTAAGAAAGTCCTGTTGTGCTCGTACTCCAACTGCTGCGGAGTTCCCCGGGGCCGCCGAAGCCGGGCCTCCCCGCTGCGCCCGCGCAGCAAACGCACAGGTGAGCCGCCACCCACCAGAACACCCCTCTGGCACTACATGTATGTGCGTGTTTGCCCTGAGGTGGCTGCAAGACTGTGGAATGTCCATTAGATGGTGCCCATTCTCCTCATACATAGTTTCCCTGGTACTTACTTTCAAATTCTGGTACCACTGGGTTTCGATTGCTGGATTTGAGATTCACGGCTCCTATCAAGCAGCCTGAAGGGGGAAAAAAAAATAGGTAAAATCATAGACAATGTGACTCTAAAACAGCAAAGAACCCTCAGACTGAGGTCGGATTTTTCCTTCTATGTAGGCTTTAATCACTAATGACAAAGGATGGAAAAATACTACATTCCAAAACAAAGACTCCTGGATAGATACAGCAAGTGTATCTCAGCCTGACCTTCACTGGAAGAAACGAAGAAAAAGTGAAGAATTCCAAGAATTCTCTTTCCTTCTCAGTCCCAGCACAAAGCCCCCTAGAACTTCAAAGACCTTTTCCTCTAAAAGTTTGCTTCTTGCTTAGAATCATCGTTAATTGTTACAACATCTCTCACCCAGACCCAAACGGGCCACCTTCTTGTCACCCCCTCCCTCCTGCCTCTCCCCCTCCTCTAGGCTTCAAATCTGGCAGGCGCACTCTTGGCAGATCCGACACAGTCCAAACCCTGGGCCTGCTACTTGGCGTCAACCCTCTCTGCTTACAGTCACCAACCACCTCAGAGACCACTTCCTGTGTTAGACACGTACCCAGCCCAGCAAGTCCTATCCATTAAGACGTTTTCACCAGCCTTTTAGTAAAGGGGGAAGTATGGAAGTATCAGAAAGCTAAGCTAAATGAAGCTACTGACGAAATCAAGATGTGCTATTTGCAAAATAATCCTGTCAAAACTCACCCTGGACTCTCTGTGTTTCAACAAACATTAGAAACCATTCCTCATGGTCTCGAAATGTCTCAAGCAATTTTCTTGGAGAGAAAATCAAGTAGGTACAACGATCACCCACAAAATGTCATTTTTCAGTTATCTGGTCCCTCAGAAAACACACTATCCCCAAGGAAGGCCTTCATACATAAAACTCTTAAAAAGGTCAGTGGATCTTCACTGACCATATCAGATAAATAAAAGGCACAGAAACTTATACTCTAAGGCAACATTTTCAACCTTTTTCATCTCATGGCACACATAAACTAATTACTAAAATTCTTTGGCACACCAAAAAAATATATTTTTTTACTGATCTGACAAAAAAAATTAGTATAATTTTGATCATTCACATCAGGCGGCTATTGCATTGGCTGTTGTCAATTTTTGGACAATCTAAGGGAAGAGTTCGGTGTCCCTGACGAAACAGTCAGGTGCTGCATGTTCTAAAAATCCGCGCGGCGCAGCAATCAAAAATCACGGCCCTAAGGTGCTAACTCCGTTTACATTATGGTCACAGCAATCCATTCTTTCCTTTTTTAAATCATATTTAATGGTGCGGCTGCATGTGTACATTCCAATATACATTTTAATCCTTTCTTACTAAGATTTCAATAATTATAACAAAAACCTCAAAGAACTTTTCTTTTAAAGGGATAAAAATCAGTAGTATAATGTACCTCAGTTGCTGTTGGTTTCTAAAACACTCCCTTCTTGCCCTGACTGGTGTGGTTCAGTGGGCTGGGCGTCATCGTGCAAGCTCCAAAGTCACCAGTTCTATTCCCAGTCAGGGCCCATGCCTGAGCTGCGGGTTCAGTCCCTGGTTGGGGGCATGTAAGAGGCAACCAATTAACGGCTCTCTCACACGGTCAGTGTTTCTTTTCCTCTTTCTCCCTCTCTTCCCCTCTCTATAAAAATAAATAAATAAAACACTCCATTCTCCAAAAGGTTGTAGAATAGCATAAATTAGTATTATTTTGTTTGGGTTAACCATGAGCATGTATAGTACTATTTCCTTCTCAATCTGAAAGTTCCCAGTGACCCATGAATAGAGAATAGTCTATGATGCTCTGACTATCTACCAAGGCCACACGAGTTCCTTCTGAGGAAAGTGACCACAGCCATTTACAGTATGATCATGAGACCCCGAAGCTCTGGCTACAAATGACCATGACCAGGGATCAGCTTCGGACCCAAAGGCTATCAAAGGGGTCTTAGTGTAACATCTGAGAACTCTGCCCAACCGGACCACCCAATCTGATCCTTTCTTTTAAGAAGTGTGAAACTAAGAGAAGTAAGCAAATGAATTAGAGAGTTTATGTAGTCAACAGAGAAGCAGAGTTAGAGTAAAAAGAGATAGGCTGACTCATCCAAATGGTACAAACAGTAGAGCTGGTAACATGAACCAGAGAATGAAAAAGATAACACTAAAGTCACTGGAGCGTCTGCAGCAATGCCACATTTCCATCAAGCCAACTGAGATAGATTTTTAAACAATAAATCTCTCAGGTACACTGAGCGATTTTGTTTCTCACAACTAATACACAGTCAAGGTAACACAGTCCCCGATAGTGGAGATGATCATCCCTCTCTTCCCTCTACTCTGCAGCAGAGGGGAATGCTCTATGCTTCTTAAAGAATGTTTGGGACTTCCGGCCAAGATGGAGGTGTAAGTAGATACACTTTGCCTTTTCGCACAACCAAAAGAAGAACAGAAGAAAGATAAATTTAAAAACAAAAAATAACCAGAACTGCCAGAACATCGAACTATACAGAAGTCCAACAACCAAGGAGTTAAAGAAGAACCATTCTTCCAGACCGGTAGGAGGGACAGAGATGGGCAGCTGGGGCAGAGAGGACATGTGTGACGGCGGTGGCTGACAGACCAGGCGGTCCCAAAGCTGGGGAGCGAGACAGACGCCACAACCCAGGGTTCCAGCGCAGGAAAAGAAAGCCTCAAAACCTCAGGAGGTAAAAACCTATGCGGGTTGCAGCAGCAGCAGAAACTCCCAGCCTCACAGGAGAGTCTGTCGGAGAGTCCCACGGTGTCCTAGAATATACACAAGTCCACCCACCCACCTGGGAATCAGCACAGAAGGGCCCAATTTGCTTGTGAGTAGCGGGGGAAATGACTGAAAGCTGGCTGAGAGCCAAGCAAGCAGCACTGTTCTCTCTCGGACCCCTCCCCCACACACTGCATCACAGCACAGTGACCTGGGTTGCCCTGCCCTGGCGAATACCTAAGGCTCTGCCCCTCCCAATGATTTCCAAGGTATGCCAACACAAAGAAATATGGCCCAAATGAAAGAACAGGTCAAAGTTCCAAAAATAGAACTAAGCAATGAACTGATAGCCAACCTATCAGGTGCACAATTCAAAACACTGGTAATCTGGATGGTCACTGAATTAGTTGAATACGGTTGAAAAATGGATGAAAAAGTGAAGGCTACGCAAAGTGAAATAAAGAAAAATGTACAGGGAACCAACAGGAAAGGAAAGGAAACTGGGACTCAAATCAACGATTTGAAGCAGAAGGAAGAAATAAATATTCAACTAGAACAGAATGAAGAACAAGAATTCAAAAAAATGAGGAGAGGCTTAGGAACCTCTGGGACAACGTTAAACATCCCAACATCAGAATCATAGGGGTGCCAGAAGGAGAAGAGGAAGAGCAAGACATTGAAAACTTATTTGAAAAAATAATGAAGGAGAACTTCCCCTCTCTGGCCAAGGAAATAGACTTCCAAGAGATCAAGGAAGCTCACGGAGTCCCAAAGAAGTTGGATCCAAGGAAAGCACACACCAAGGCACATCATCATTACATTACTCAAGATTAAAGATAAGGTGAGAATCTTAAAAACAGCAAGAAAAAAGGAGACAGTTACCTACAAAGGAGTTCCCAAGAGACTATTAGCTGATTTCTCAAAAGAAACCTTGCAGGCAAGAAGGCACTGGCCGGAAGTTTTCAAAGTCACGAAAAGCAAGGACCTTCATCCAAGATACTCTCTCCAGCAAAGCTATCATTTAGAATGGAAGGGCAGATAAAGTGCTTCCCAGATAAGGTCAAGTTAAAAGAGTTCATCATCACCAAGCCCTTATTATATGAAATGTGAAAGGGACTTATCTAAGAAAAAGAAGATAAAAAACTATGAACAAGAAAACAGAGGGGACAGGGAGGGGAAGAATGGGGGAAAAGGTACAGGGAATAAGCAGCATAAATAGGTACAAAATAGGCAGGGGAAGGTTAAGAATAGTATAGGAAATGGAGAAGCCAAACAACTTATATGTACGACCCAAGGACATGAACTAAGGGGCAAGGAATGCTGAGGGGGTGGGGTGGTGTCGGGTTGGGGGAATAAAGGCAAGAAAAAAAATGGAATAACAATCAATAAAATATATTTTTTTAAAAAAAAGAATGCTTGCCTTAACCTCCTTCCTGCCCAGCTCCCCGAGACAAGTGTCACAGGCACCTGCTCGCGCTGGTCTTAGAAGACAATATGGCCCCAAAAGATTCAAGAACAGAGGTCCACAACAAGCAAGTGAGGTTCTTGTTTACGTGATTATTTACAACAGCTGGGCTGTCCGTCTGATGGGTCCCAAGCTAAGAGTCCTTCCTTGGAATTCTCATTCCTTTTCTAAACAATTCTTCAATTTACAAATCTTCTATACAAACACACCTCAGAGATACTGCAGGTTCCGTTCCCGACCACCACAATAAAGCCAATATTGCAAGAGAGCGAATCGCATGAATTCTGTAGCTTCCCAATGCATATCAAAGTCATGTTTACACTATACTGTAGTCTATTAGGCGTGCACAGCATTATATTTAAAAAATATACAAATCTTAATTAACAAATACTTTATTGCTAAAGACTGCTACCATCGCCTGAGCCTTCAGCCAGCTGTCATCTTTTTGCTGGCGGAGGGCCTCAGTGCGCACGGCTGCCAACCAATCAGGGTGGTGGCAGTGGAAGGCTGTGGCGATTCCTTAAAGCCAGACAACAGTGAGGTTGGCCACGCGGACTCTTCCTTTCATGAAAAATGTGGCCCTGTTGGAGAGTATGTTACCCACAGAACTTTCTGTGGAGTCAACCCTCTCCAACCTTGTTGCTGCTTCATCAACTAAGTTTAGGTAATATTCTACATAAATCTTTTGTCATCATTTCAACACTCTTCACAGCCTCTTCACCAGGAGATTCCATCCCAAGAAACCACTGTTTCTGCTCAGCCATAAGCAGCAAGTCCTCATGGTTCAAGTCTGATCACAAGGTTGCGGCCGTTCAGCCCCCTCCT